AACACGTGCTCCATCTATTGGTGGGGAGCAGCACCTGCTGGAAACCGGGTCCAGCGTCCCATAGATACAACCATATCTTCTCAAATTGGCACGAGCTGGGAACCGGGCCCAGCGTCCGATGAGTACGTTCAAAAAAACCATCAGAAATTTCATAACAGTGAAACTAAGGATGTTCTGAGAAAGTCYAATTGAAGGAATTTAGAGCTACTTCAGAGCTTTTTGGTAAGGAACTTCAGATTTAATAAAAAACCAGAAGAAGACTCGGGAATCCACCAACAGTGTATGTGTGCTCTGTCTAACTGTATAGCGAGATGTATGTGCTCGAAGGCCAGATATGTGCAGTACTATGTAGAGGGAACTCTGTGTTCATTTGAAGAGATGACAGGCCTAGCTGGACAAGAAACCCCCCCCCCGCCCCCCCCCCCAAACTCCCAAGCCAGACTCGAACCCGTGACTGCTACGTAGAGTGCAGTCTGCCCATGTTCCCTTGTTGGAGGCTTGAACACGGGCTGACTGCTACGGGGTTCCCACAGTAATACTACAATGCAAAATAAAAAAGACCGGAAAGGCCGCTGTCCTCTCCAGAGTCCATATTAAAAAAAAGACTCCCGCCGAGCCTTGCCGAGCCTAGAGCTATGGGTAGCAGGTTTTTCTTCATTTTTTGAAAACAGGTTTTTCTTCTCTCTCTCTCTCTCCCTCTCTCTCTCTCTCTCTCTCTCTCTCTCTCTCTCTCTCTCTCTTGTTGGTGTGTGGAATCATGGCGGATGTCAGCAGTTCGGGGCCCTGGGCCCGTTAGGCTTTTTTTTTTTTTTTTAAAGGCGATGGCCTTGTCTTATTAAGTTATTACCATCGGACTAACCTGGGGCGTGGAGTCCTGGAGGCTGSACCCACTAGCGAAGTATTCTACGACATGTGACACAGTTTTATCAACTTTTATGGTTTTTCGGAAAATACAAAGTGGCCTGATAGCCTTAGGGTGGCCTGATAGGCTGTGATAGCCTTTTCAGCCAAGGGTGGCCTGATAGCCTTAGGGTGGCCTGAGAGCCCAGGGTGGCCTGATAGCCTTAGGGTGGCCTGAAAACCCAGGGTGACCTGATAGCCTTAGGGTGGTCTGATAGCCTTAGGGTGGCCTGATAGCCTTAGGGTGGCCTGATAGCCTTAGGGTGGCATGATAGCCTTTTCAGCCTTAGGGTGGCCTGATAGCCTTAGGGTGGCCTGATAGCCCGGGGTGGCCTGATAGCCTTAGGGTGACATTTTCAGCCTTGGGGCAGGAAGCTGGTGGCCTCTCTCTCTCTCTCTCTCTCTCTCTCTCTCTCTCTCTCTCTCTCTTTTGTTGGTGTGTGGAGTTAGCAAACGGTGTGTGGAGTTAATCTTGCCCTTTTTTTTTTCCGTTTATTTTCCCTTTTTCCCTCTACCACCCGCCTGTCCCCCAGCCGTCCTACACCAGTCACACTGTTCCACATACGTGGCTAGTGGGATCGCCCTCCTGGAATCGGAAGTTCCGCCTGTGGAATGGTTGCCTTGCGGAGAACATTGTCGTTTTTTTGACAAGGGACAGAGAACATCGGCGTTTTTTTTTTTTTGCCTCCGAGTTCTGAGTTTTTTTTGTTGTTCTTTGGTTGTTTGTTTTTTTTGTTTCATGTCGTCTTGTGTTTTCCCTCTGATGTCCAGGTGTTCTACACTTTGTGTTCATCGTTTTTGCCTGTTTCATAGCATTTCTTTGCCGCTCTGACGCCGACTTCGATCTCTGTTGCGAGTTGGCAACATTCTCAGAGGGTTCCGAGATCGTTTTTTTTTTTCGAGGTTGGCGACTTTCATCATGTCGCAGGACCGGGGGAAGGATCCGGTAGACTCGCTCACGACCGCCCGACAAGGTCATAACATGAAGACGTTTGACTCGCCGTTCAAGGTCGACCCGACAGTCGACGGCAAGCGGGACGACCCGGTGTGGCATTTCGTGGCCAGTGGGCGTTATTTGGATGGGTCAACGGCGGCCGGCAGGAAGAGCGGTCGTAGATGCCTGTGCAGGTTGTGCGGGCGTTCGATTTGTGGGGGCGCTAAAGCCGCCAAGGAGCACTTATCGAAGAGCGAGAAGTTCCGATGTGAGGCAGCCACTCCTGCTGTGTGGAATGCGATCTGGTCGAAGGACATGACAAAATGTCCAAAGGAGTTCGCGTCGGCCATAGAAATGTTGCAGAGCCACTTGCCAGGTCATCCGAGCTTGCAATGGCCACCTCTTCGATTCCCCGAGGACGCAGTGCCGTCGCTGGTTCCTCTCACCGCCCCTTATGGAGCCGTCGCATCGCCCAATTCTGGGGCTCCGGCCATTCGAGTCACGGTACCGCGTCCTGCAACAACAGTTGCAACACGACCGGCAGCCCCGCCGTCTGTGCCGCTGGCTGGGACACGAGGTGCTCGCGATGTGGGAGTTSGTCGTTCCACGCCAGCCAACGAGCCCCCGCCTCTGAGGGATGGTGTGGGCTCTGCGGCATTTGACGAGGAGAGCACACGTGCATTTATTGAGAGTCACAGGTGGGGGGGGAGTGCCGGCAGTTCAGCGCCCGCGCTCGCCCCTGTTTTCAGGAGTGATAGGCAGTCAGAAGCCGCATGGGGTGGTACTGCGGTGGCACCTGGCGCATCACCCCGCAGTTCGTCGAAGCACCCCTGGCTGCCACCGCCACCGTCGAGAGCGGCGCAGCGTCCAATGGTCCACCACGCTCACGGAACCGCCCACTCGGATCCGTCACACGCACCTGCAGATGCTCGACATTCTGCTTCCGTGCCTCGTTTCGGGGAACAGGTGGATCATGGGGTGCCTGCCGAGGAGGTCCCCACTCCGGTGTCCGATTCATCGCCGACCCCTGTTCCGACAACCACGGGCGGTGGTCGGTCTGCCCCACAGCCTCCACCCGTGTTGACCGGAACGTTAGACGCTTTGCAGCGCATTCGTGACCTTGCAGTCGCCCAGAGCGTGACACCTGTGAGCCCTGGCGAGTTGTTGGATGTTGGGGTCCTCGGCGGGAGAGCTACGACGGGACGATGTCGGGGCACTTACAGGCAGCAAGCCGTCACGTCATATTATTCGGACCCTTTGGAGCGCGCATGGCATCTCCAAATCATGCGGTTCATCGTCGAGAGCGGGATGCCGTTCAACAGCACGAAGCTTGAAAGCTTCAAACGCATGTTCACGATGATAATCCCGCCGGGGGTTCCAGGGGCGCCCGCGCCTAGACTTCCCTCGTACCACATGCTGCGCACGACCCTTTTGGATGAGCTGGATGGTGAGGTCCAGAAGTGTGTTCGGCCGGTGCTTGACACATCGAGAGAGACCGGTTGCACAATCATTACCGATGGTTGGACCAACATCCGTGGTCAGATGTTGTGCAACTACCTTGTTGGTACAGAGATCGGGGTGGTGTATGTGTCCACCGACGTCATGCGTGGCAAAAAGGACGCTAGTGCCCTCGCGAACGCATGGTTGAAAAGGGTGAAGTCCATGGACGTTCAATTGAGCGACATCACGACGTTCGTGACGGACTCCGCCGGGGTGAACGTCGCGGCGATGGAGGTATTCCAAAAAGATGAGAGCGTGAAACATATCTTCTGGATTCCTTGCGTCGCCCACATCATGGATCTCATTCTCGAGGACATCGGCGGGATTGATTGGGTGGCTTCCCGCATTTCTCAAGCGAGGCTGGTTACAAGGTTCTTCAAGCGCCATGGACATGCGAGAGAGGTTTTTGAGGCGCACTCGACGAAGACTCTTCTGCTACCGGCGGAGACGCGTTTCGGCACGAACGTCATCATGATGGAGAGGCTGGTGGCATTGCGGGCCGCGTTGACAGATGTTGTGGCCGACGGTCGCTGGCGCGAGACTGTTTGGTCGACCAGCAAGATCCGCAAGGATGCAGCAGAGGTCACTGCATGTATCGGCTCCCCTCCATGGTGGGAGGATTTGAGAGCTCTGTGCAAGATGATAGAGCCCATCATGGGCATGCTGAAGTTGGTGGACAGCGACACACGCCAGATCAGCAAGATTTTGCGACGTTACGAGGAAATGATTGCATCTTGTTTATCCGCATGTCGTGACATTGATCGAGAGCAGCAGGACGCTATTGTGGAGGTGTTCCACAGGCGGCGCACCATGTTCAAGAGCCCCGCCCACACGGCAGCCATGCTGCTAGATCCAGAGTTCCGGGACGCGACGCCTTGTGACGATGCGGAGGTGCAGCAGGCCTTGGTCGAGGCCCTTGTCCAGTTCGGCTACCCGGAGGATTCGCCGCAGCACCGGGAGGTCCAACGAGAGGTCGCCAAGCTCAACACGAGGGAGCCCCCTTTTTGGCGAGCTACGTATATCTTTGATCACCCTGCCAGTTTTTGGTCCTCAAAGAAGGCGAAGTTCCCTCACACAGCCGTGTTCGCAGGCAGGATCCTTCGTATATGGGCGACCGCCTCACCGTGCGAGAGAGCGTGGTCTCGTTGGAGCTTCATTCATTCGAAGTCTCGCAACAGGTTGGAGGTTCCCCGGGCTGAGAAGCTTATGCGGTGCCACTGGAACCTCAGGCTACTCGATCGACCTTCGTTGTGCGACGATGGTGTTGGAGAGAGGCCCGGTGTCTTCGGGAAATGGGTGCATTATTGGCAGGCCATGGAGGACGAGGCAGCCGTGGACCAGCAGCTCGTCAGAGGCACCGATGTTCTGGCGAAGGTGACCAAGGAGGAGTTTAGCCTCGCCAGAGAGAGGATGCACGCCATTTCCCGCATGGGAACCGAGCGTCGGGTGGCGGAGTCGGACAGGAGGCGACGCAGGGCTGGTGGTCGGGGACGTGGCGGCCGTGGACGAGCAGGTGTCGGAGGACGTAC